CCTTTTGCGCTAACACTGTCAAGTATTGTGTGGCAACCAATTGTTTTCACAAAGAGTCAAAGCCTTGCTATTGATTTTTCCAATGTTCTTAATTTTTTCCTTCTGCTGGTTTTTCTCCCTCTTCTATCCTCTATTGAATACATATACCTATTTTATTTTTGCCTTATTTCTGCCCGTTAATTCTTGCCACTAGGTGGTTGTTTTTTCTGGAAACTTTACCCCTCAGTGTTCTCCTAATCTTTGTGTATTTTCCCATCTTTTGCATTTTAATGATCCTACTGTTCCTGGAGGATACTAGTATACATCCTTAAATTTAGGAATCAAAAATAGTCTGCAAGTGGATTTGCTAAAAATAACTGCATTTTCCTAAATTATTCCTGTTTGGAGAAACACCAGGTGGCCTGGCATAGAGCTAACTGGAGTCACTGACCACTTCTCAGTGAACAAAACCAACTACACTTCATGCCATATGCAAGTACAGCTTATGTTCCTTTAGTCTAGTGTGGAACATACTGCTCTATTGGCCCTGTAAATTACCTCTGCTGTATAAAACATCAGGATTCTAGTCGGGGAATGGTATATTAGTTGCTGACTTCCTCCAGCTGATACAAGGTCCTATCTCATTATCTGGATGCGAGGTGCAGAAGTAAATGCAGAGAGGAAGACAGACAGCTTCTTATAAGCAGCCATCTGTATGTTAGTCCATTCTACAGTAATTAAATTCCGCTCATGGAGTTATCTTCCAACATTTAAATACAGCATGTACATTTTTATATGTATGTTATATTTTTATCTAAATAAAAGCAATATATGGCTCAGAACAACACCTCTTTCCAAGGGTAGTAACTCAGAGATATGCATTTACAGAACAGAAAAAACAGACATAAATATCAGGTTTTATTCAAAACAGACATAAATATCAGGTTTCTAATAAAGTGACTCTCCTTACTTATATTTAAAAGGAAATTGCAATGAAGGCACTGATGCACAGAATTTACCAAATAATTAATTTTACAATTATTTAAATGCCCTCTTTTGATACTACTAATTACCCTTTTCTGCTTTTTGAAGGCAAAATTCCAGAACCATTCCCTGAAATAAGTCCCAGTGTTAAAGATAATTTGATTTGGAAAACCTGATTCATATCTGCCACCAGTACCTGAAGTGGGAGAGATAGAATGAAGAAATGGGTATCAGTCTTGGCTCAAGAGAAGCCTCCCTGAAAAGCAACTACCACTCAGAAAATTGTGGTCTTTCTTGTAAATCTAGACAACTTTCACTAAGTTGGGACTGTAACATGATTTGGAAGCTGGTCTTTGTCTGCCAGAGGCTCCTGCTCATTTCAGAGCTGCTGTGAACCCTTTGCCTTCAATAAAGGGCAAGGTTTTAACAAGAGACACTGCTGCAGCTGGCTCTCAGCTTTTGCTGAGTTCTCAGCTCAGCAGGGGCTGGATAATCAATCCACTCCAGGAAGCAACTTGATTTCTCCTTGTGTAGTATAGTGTCACATTTCCCGATTACCACCAAACTGCATTTACAGTTGTGGCAGTTCCCATCAGTGGCTCCTGACCTAAGATGATACATTCAGATGCCTGCAAAGACAAAGATGGAACAATGGCAGTAGACCTGACTGGCAGTATGGTGTATCATTACGTATCTTCTGGCGATGTGTTTTTTATGTGGAATTCTCAACAGCAACGTTTTATGTTTTGGCACCACCAAGAGCTAATGTTGCTTACTGCTACAGTAAGTCTCTAAATAGAAATGATGGTTCTAATAAAATGCTTTCTATATAACCCTTGTTTTTAGTCCCTGCTTTTTAGAAAGTGTCTAACTGCAAACACTGAAGAAAAAGCCCTCACTTCCTTTCAGGGCCACATGGATAACTTTTTTTTTAAAATCGCTTTTCCCCCCCCTAGAACTTTTATTCCTCCTCCATTGAATGTTTTCTGCTTACGTAGCTAAAATTCCAACCCTACTTAGTAAATGCTCTGAGTTTGGGAGATAGAACCTA